AGACTTTGGACTAGTATTCTTGGGGAACAAGACCGCCCAGGATCTGTAGGAAGCCCCAGGTTTGGTTTTTCCGTGAATCCTTACTCGGTCTGGAGTGCAGTTAGTTACTCTGAGGATTTCGGGGGCTACCATTTCGGCAGTGACTTCGATTCGTCCTTCCATGCCGAAAACGGCGACTGGATCCATAGCAATCTGGAGGGAAACTAGATCAATTGGTGGTTCTGGTTTTGCCTCCACTTATGTGAAAGTACTGGAGGCCTCCAGCAGTCGAGTTTTGGCATCCAAGTATCAGAAGTGGCATGTAGACAGCGGAGCAGAGACAAGGATCGAGACAAGAATGCAAGGCAAGAGGTTGCCATCCTACATTATGCATGAGATAGGTGCATAACCACTCGGCCAAAAGGCCAGACCAGAATCATAGAACATTAGGTGCTAGTTATCTCCACATATATAGATTATACAATAGGCATTCCTGACACCGGGTTTTTGGCACGGATGGCAAAGCCAGTGGGAACGCGTTGCACCTGGTCGACATCGGAAGGGGTGCATTGTGTTTGATTAGCCACGGCTTCGCGAACGCTAGCCGGAGAGAGCTGTCTCTACTCGTGGTTTGCATCGAGCAAAGGAAGAGTCGGTCATCTTGCGGCGCTGTTGCTGCTGCTGTCGGCTTCTTCTCTATTTTCCTGGCTGATGGGGCAGCCCCAGCCAGGTGAGGCCTAGACACCGGGACCACATGAGGTGCGCATATTCATCTATATCTCCCTTCTTTGTAACAATCGAGGCCGACTTGATCCAATCCACCATCGCTGTATCGGGTGCTGGGTACGCTCCGGATATTCATCGGATGGCTTTTCCTCCATGATCAAGGGTTGGTGATGAGTAGGGCTCCGACCATACCGTCTGATCTGATCGTGGTTAGCTTCCTGATAGTGGTGATAGGGGAATGTGTTGAGAGATGAAGACGATATAGACGGTGAAAGCGATTGAGTGTAACGGCTAAGAAGCCGGTATTTTCCTGTAGCCAGTAATGGCAAGTACTGGCGTATAACCACCAGGGGGGTGGGCCGGCGCAATAGCCTTGCAGAACATACCAGAACCATTGTCGAAGGTACTAGATAAGATTCGACATGACCAAGACTGTAACTGAAACTTGGAGAAGCTACTAGAAACCATATTCTCAGAGTTGCAACTGGAATTATCTAGAAATGAACTGACCTTAGATGGAAGGGCTTGGAATGTAGTAATCTGTATAAATACGTAGCTAAGTATCTGTAGCTTAGTTCTACATAGTTGAATTGTTAATATACCATCATCCATACAAATGCTCCCTGCTTTCTATAGTTGATCTGTGACATTGGGGATCCTCGTCGGAATGAGGACTTTGTTACTCAATCTCGGCTTTGCAGACTCTACAGTGAGATCTGGAGGTTCGTAGGGGACACCACTGACAGGTGTTGAGAATAGTCCCCCCTTGTAGTTCTGTGATTGGTAGCTACATGGACAGTCCGGACTAAATACTTCGGATAATTTTCTCCTGTGTGAATATGAGTTGAGCCTCATTTTCTCACTGCCAATTGGCATTGCCAAACTACTTTGGGCCCAAGTCAGGTTCATATCTCGGAATATATTATATATTGTGAGCAGATGCATATCTAAGTTTAGTCAGCTCTGGTTATACAGTAATGTGACACACGAGTAAGAAGTCAGGGTCATAGGTCTAGATCTGGGAGTGATGCAGGCATTGTAGATGATCTAGGCGCATATATACATAGGGAGGGCGCTCTCCCTGTTGGTAGCCAAGTATAGAACCTTAGTGATCTAGTGATAATATGTGATTTAGCCAATAACGTATACATACATATTCTTATTTTCCATCCTATGCGGTTCCTGTATACAGCCCATGAAGGCGGATGGCCGTGTTATTTGGGTAAAAAGCATTCAAGCAACAAAACCCTTAATCCCGCCACCAGAACACACTCCGGTTTTGTGTTGAGAGTGTCTATCTGTCCTTCCATTAGATATGTTTTCGACCTTTAACTCCGATAGCTCCTTAGTGAAAATTTTATTGCCTCAGGAAAACAACGTGAACTGAAATGGATCAGTTTCCTCACTCGATTGTGTAAGTGCCTCGATTTCAGCTGGGGCTGGATATTTGATTATGATTTCGTTAGCCGGATAGAACAGTGTGGCTTCAAGTGGATTGGATAAAGTGTAGAGTTAAACTAACGTGTATTGTTTTCTACAGTCTCAGCATTCCTTAAAAATTTTGCAGCCTAGCTAGTACTAACGTACCTCTGCTAGGCTTTTCTACACGCGAGTATGAAACTACTAATACAGTGTATATAAGATCACCAAACACCTTACCATTTTTACTTTCAAGTAAACAATATTCACAACCTTAGCTCAGTTATGTTAAGGTGCAGGAATGACTATGTGTCGAATGACCTAATGACTTGATGATCTGTCATTTATTATCTTAGAAATGATGACTAACTATGTTGATCAATAATGAGCTACCTGTTTAGGAATGACGTTAGGGAAGGGGGATAACTGCTGTATATACGGGTTTCCTTAAATAGGTTACAGATAAGAATCAAGATACAAATACCACCCGAGTATTCCGACATTATGTTTGACAAACGCTCTTATATTTCAACAGTGGAACTACTTACTTCGGTCATCCTGGCCCCGTCTTTGTGCCCCTATATTCTTAATGGTGAGCGTCGTGAACTTTCCTCTTTCTATTACTTTCAAGCTACTTATTGGCCTCTGAGCCACATGTACTGAGGTATCTCGATGGATATCTGCTGTTCTTCCTAAGAGCTGAATTCGAGCTGATTTCATGCTTCTTCTGTAAACCGTATTGGTCTTGTAAGCCACTTTCTACCACGGCCTGTGCGCCCTCCCACAGTTGCAGCGTAATGTTTCATTTCTTTTACAATCCCATGTTTAGTGGTTGCTCACGCACTTTCCACATCTCGCTACCTTTCCGCACGACGCTTACGTGTAACCTCATTTGTTGCAGTTGTAACACTGCTTGACTTGAGCCCTAGATAACTAGTGCTGCACGGTGAAAAGCATCGTGTTCATGACGATGCTGTGCTTCACGACCGCAATTTGGAGGGACTCAGTCGGAAGGCTGTTAATGGCAGAGCCCTTAGTGTAATTATTTTTCTTTGCCCAGTGGTTCTGCTTTCCATCGTGAAACCATCGAATTTGATTTATCTTCAAGCCTGGAATCCTTGATTTTGTCGTCGATTTAATTCCCTCTATTGGATTCTCGTTGTTCGCATCTTTACCTTCCACCGTTTTGGTCCTAAGTGGGACTCCGATGACCTCCACTAGATAATTCTGGCTTAAAATATTGAGTGCCTCTGGCTGAGCTATGTTCAAAGCCGCATTCTTCTGGGCCGCTGATTGTATTTAGAGCTCTATATCATTACTTTCGATTTGCCGGAAGATGTAAACCCATAGAATATGATCTTAAGCCTTCCTTAGCGGTTGTTCTGGCAGCTAAGGAAAGCACCGTCCACTCTTATGCGTAAAGCCGCCTTTGATATCGTTGGTGCCACATGGGGACGTATATTGGTAGGCCTATTGGGCCAGGCGTTGTTACTGGAACTACCCTGCAGACTGGCTTCTTAAGACTCCTTTGCACGACCTTTTACAAAACCAGCATGCTTTCTTCGATGGGTTTCGATTTCAAATGATTTTAAGAGAGCCTGAATGTTAATTGAACGCCTTCAAGACGTCCTCCGTTTCCTTTATCGGTGGTGATCCCTCCTTTAATCTCCTATTCCTAAGACTCTCACTCACTCCTATTAAGTAATTCCTAATAATTTTGATATTTTGCTACTCTTCTTCTTGAAGAGACTCGTTGCTTCTTCTGAAAGAATCTGCTGCCGTCCCTTTTCCTTTGTTGGTTGCCACTGTGGTTACTGGCTGTGACGCGTTAAAACAGTAAGAACTTTTCGCACCGGTACCCAAAGCCGTCATGCCGCGTCGGAACAATTAGAAATCTGAGAGCAAAGTAATTTGATGTGTAGAGAACGATTAGGATAAAAACTAGGATGTGAAAATGTTTGTGAAACGTTGTGCAGCATTTGACCAAATGTCCTCAGAATCTAATAGGAAAATTTCAGTCATACCAACGAGTAATGATGTAGGTCAGTCATATCTCACAGCGCATGCGCAGATTATTCCCGTGTGAACAGTTTTTTACAATGTGGTCATGCTACATCCTTATTTACAAGACACTATGTAAGGCGTAGCCTGGGTCATAGGGGGGCCAAATGTGCTAGATAGTCTAAGAGTGAAGTAATAAAATAAACTAAAACAAGATATTAAATAATTAAAAAATGAACTAGATAGGAATTTCTCACTAGAACCTACTCCAATCATTTATGATAACTGAATGCACCAATACAAGCTTGAACGTTGTGCTTAGGAATAAAAACAATTTTTGGCAGGTAATGTACCAGGGTATATGCGCTCTAGCTTGTGTATCCAAGGTAGAAGACAGCGCACTTTTTATCGATTGAATCATTGTCTTGGACTGGCTACATCTAAACCTAATTTATCGCTGTCGATAATTTAAAAAGCTAGCAGTTTTAGTATCCAAGCGAGTTTGATTTTAATCCTATCCTGTAACTTCATGATATGAACAATTGAGCCCTTGGCTAGTCATTAGACGAAAGCCGTCGTCATGAAGCGTTGCTCTCTGTTGATATATTACGCAAGAACTAATCGTACTGCGCATTCAGTGCATTAAATACGGAATTTTATGCTTGATGATTAACGTGAAGAGAGGGAACTATGGGGATTTTTGAGTTATCAAGGGGGACCAAGTATACAATAAAGCCAATAGCTTTCATACTTCTTCCCAATTTATGGGAGTCAGTTCATTTTGCTTAAACTTGGGTTTTCGTGGACACAAGACTTGAAAGTTTTCCTATCGGCGCGTAGTCTCTTTCACATTGGGTCTTTTTGTGCCTGACGCTTTATTGAAGAATAAAAGCTTCAAGCTTCTCATAGGCTTTTTCGAGAACGTCATTGACGATGGTTATGTCGTAAGTCCCATCGTTAGCCGCGTATTCCAACTCATATTTCGCCTGAGCTAAGCGCTTTTGTATACTATCCTCTTTCTCAGAGCCTCGGCCTCGAAGGCGCTGTTCAAGCACTTCTAATGATGGAGGGGCAATAAAGACGTAACGTGCGTCAATTTCAGAGTCCTTGATTTGCTTCACACCCTAACCATGGAGGAAGAGTAGCGAGTTAGAAATGATCATACGAATTTCGCAAAGTTTATCTGTAGGACGAGCGTAGACATAGATTGAGGGAAGATAAAATGATTTCAAAAAAAACTACTCACCTCCATCTCAATGTCAAGAACAGGCACGCGGTGAGAGTTGATCACAGTCTGAATTGTAGCCTTGCTAGTGCCATATCGATTTCCCCCATACTCTGCGTGTTCGACGAATGTTTTCCGAGCAATAAGATCTTCAAATTCTGGGCGACTGATATAGTAGTAGTCAATGCCCTCCTTTTCTCCGCTGCGAGGTGCCCGTGTAGTGTGTGAAACAGTCGTGGCAAAGGTTGAAGGGTGTCTTGAGAGAAGCAGATGGTATAGCGTGCCTTTTCCGACACCTGATGGACCACTTATTATCACTGGGCGAGGATCGATTCTCTTCGAAGTCTGGCTAGTTTCTAAGAAAAGAGGAGGGGTCAATGGGAGGCGGATGATTGCAGCATGTGGTGCGGAATAAACTATTTATAAAAAATTCTTACCTGAAGCCATTTTCAACCCTTTACTTAGTGACTTGAGGCCAGAGGCTTTTAAAATTCTATTTCTTGTACCAGAGAGCGTTCGAAAAATCATGCAGTGTATAATTGGTGGGATGGCTAAGCTGTGAAGAATTGTGTAAATAAACACAGCATTCGGTCCTATTTGCAAACTAACAAGTGATCACATGACCAGCAGACGCTGTAGATAAGAAGAAACTGACGGTAGACCTAACTCAATTACTGATGTTTTTTTAAATTATTTTAACTACTTCTTATCATAGGGTCATATAACTCTACCAGCAGTATGGTCCTAAAACACGAGTCTTCGGTTCTCCCGATAGATATCTACCTGAAACAAAGGAGGTTCCAACACGTCGGGCTATCAAAAGGACTATCTGTCAGGAGATCGACACTATGTACGTTTAGCAAAGTCAAGCAGAACACAAGGGGAACCGTGAATAGACACGCTAAGAATCGAAAGCAAGAGATTGAAGAGTGGACCAGAATTTGTAGCATGGAGAATTCGAAAGGGAGACAAAAAGAAGCCGGTAATGTGGCCGCGTTCCAGGAGTGGAAAAACTCATGGACACAACCAGGGAACGAGATACTTGTTGTAATTACGAAGTTAGATGGATAAGTATTATGGTAGGATAGTATACATATAAAGAAGAATGTGGAATGAATATTCTGGTGGTGGGCGAATGTACTTCGACTATCTGAGGGTAAAAAGGATATCTAAAGATGAACGCATAATCTACCTAAGAAGTAAATGGACTTGATAATATGCATGTACGATTTGTTCTACTACCATGCCCATTTATTGTCTGATGTGCTCATGTAATTCGTATCGACATTGTTTGATCCTTAGGCTCCTGATAATGAGCACGACTAACATTTTCTTAAGAAAGACACGTGGGACACGGTATTACGTTGTGAATGTTGACTAGATAGCCGTAATGCTGCAGATGAAGTCTATGTACTGATAGTCAGGTCATGTGACCTGAATAGCTTAGTTTACATGAGTAGGTGAAATAGTTCCCCTTGACACACCCCCTCACCTATGAAGCTCTACACAGAGTTCATCCAGAATTCAAGGTAGTCATACTAAGTTTGTCTCCCAGGCCCATTGAAATAAACTGGCGACAATGCCTTTGTGAATCCATCTGCATAAAATCTGTTACCCCACTTCGACTCTCGATGATGCAGGTGTCGATGTACAACTTTCTTCGGCTTGGAGAATGCGCAATTGTCGCACAGTGCGGTTACATCGAGATTGTTATCTGTTTTACGACATTTATGAGTTACACCATGCGTTGTTTTTATTGTCTGCTGCACACTTGGGAAGATGATTTGTCCTAGACGGCGGTTGAGAACTTCGAAAGTGGTAGGGTTTTCATGAATTGTTGCAGGAAATGTTGAGTTTATTCCAGTCTTGTTTGAGGAAACTTGACGATCCTCATTACGAAAGGCACCGCTGTGTTTGTGTTGCTCGGACTGAGTTGGGGGCACTTTAGAAGACCTCTGCTGACTTCTCGGGAAATTGTTGTAGGTATGAGTTGATCTTCTCAAAACTCCTGCACGGCCCATTGGGGAGAGATTTGGATTCAAGTCCGAGAAATATGGGTTGGCAGCTGATGTACAATTTGAAGAGAGCAACGGTGGCAAAAATAGTGCTGAGTGAACGCGGTCATTGGAATCCTTCTGAAATGGATCATAGTTCTCGAAACGAGCATCGAAGCCAGAGTAGTGAGTAGAAATTTTACTTGGCAGATGACGTTTTTGGAATTCAGTACGCCACCTTTTATTTTCAGTGTAATTAGCCCTAGGAAATCTCTTCATAAACTCTGCATACTGCTTTGGATATTTATGGAAGCATTTTGCATCATTATGAGTACCAGAACACCACTTGCAATTAGGACCGTCCCACTTCTTGTTTCTCTTATTTATATAGCCTGTGGCATGTACTTGTGATATAGGTGCCAGAACAGGAGCTATGCTTTCAGCCAATCGAATGTGATCCTGAAGGGTTGTATATAGAGTTTCAAGACAAGGAGCAGGATTGACAGAGGTGGCGACAGAGAAATGGTAGCGTTGAGTGGATGCCCATTGAGGATATTTCTGGGAAGCCGCACGGATTAGTACCAGACAGTATACAAGTGATGGAAGAGGAGTGCCGAGGGAAAGAAGACTTGAGACCATTGATTTATGAGCCAGAATGTAAGCTTGGCAGGATGGATAATTCTCAAAGTTCTCTGTAAGATTGAGGAAATTGGTTATACTGGTTTCAACAGCAGCAACGCTGTTACCTTGTAGAAAACGGCAAAGTTTACTGTAACTTTTGCAGGCTAAATTTTCCGCCATGATGAGCTGAATGAATTGTGGATCAACATTAATTGCGAGTGTCATTTTCACAAGCTCATTCGAGAAGCTCCAATCTTTGAATCCAGTATCATTTTCAGACTTGTAAATTTCTTCAGTCTTTAAAGGATCGATCCAATCTGAGAGTAAATTTTGTTGCAAGGTCGATTCAATAAGCAGCATCCAATCCTTCAGGTTGGCAACACCATGAAGTTTCAAGGCCGGAGGAAGCGCCATATCGTTGGCGCGAAGATTAGAAGAAGCCATTTGAGAGATAATTAATGTGATTTGTAAGTGGTTAGAGGTAGATATGTGAGTGCAGATGCAGATGCAGACCGAAGACACCGTAGTACTGGAGACTGAGTGGTGAAGTGCAAGAAAGTTACGTCACAATGCAATTTGAAAAAAGTGCTGAGTTGTGATCGGAGTCTTAAGCAGAAGAACAACTAAACAATAAATCGTGATTCCACAGGAAGCGCAAGGGTCATAACCTCTTAAGAAAGATACGTGGGACACGGTATTACGTTGTGAATGTTGACTAGATAGCCGTAATGCTGCAGATGAAGTCTATGTACTGATAGTCAGGTCATGTGACCTGAATAGCTTAGTTTACATGAGTAGTTGAAATAGTTCCCCTTGACACATTTGAGCCATGCATTAATATGAGCATGCATAACTTAAGTCACGTTGTTTCATCATTGAGTTTTACATATAAAGCCCTCGCTTCTTTACGCAGACTAGTATCACAACAATACTATCTGGTCATCGAGCTTCGGCAGACCCTGAACATTGGAGAGCCGTAAATATTGTTACAGATAAGACAACAGGTAGAAAAGGATTACCTATAGAATCACACCCTCGAGTATCCACCGGAACCTTAGTAGGGCCCAAAGCAGTATTGCAGTTCGGATAAGAAGTGAGCACATTGGTTTCAATTCTTATTTGTATCGAAGGAAAGTCCCTGGAGTGATTAATCCAAAATGCCAGTGTGGATATCCGTCTCAAAGTGTCAAACAAAAGGCCTTGGCGTGTCCTTAGTGGGCAATTGGAATAGGAGAGGTGCTTCGAAAGGCAAATGATAGGTCATTTACGGCATTGATGAACAGCTCAGATGATATAGAGAGAATTACAAAATGGATCCTGGAAAAAGGCTGTTTTGAACAATTCTGGCTTGCAGGAGAAGTAGAAATAGCATTGGACGAAAAGATGAGACGATTCGGACAAGGATAAGACGGATTTCACACTGTATAAACGGTGTAAACGCACTTCCTGTATGAAACCTCAGAAAACAAATAGACACGAGACAGAAAGCTTTTAGGGGGTTTTACCTAATTTCGTTCCTCCTGTGTAAATATTAAAGCTAGATATACCTGAACGGGCTAAATTAAATCAAATCAAAAACTACTTCTTATCTCCAACCTCATCTAACCTTAGCTAATTGGTTGTTGTATAATTAGTTATCCAGCTGTAACACGCAAACAGTGGCTTATGTAGGTATCAGTGACTCTTTTTATTTTGAAGATACTCATACTCTGTATTCGAAATAGCGGTCTTAGGTTTCAACTGCGACAGGTGCGCAAGCTATCTAGACTCTACTTTGCAGGCCAGTCCAGATGATGTACTACTACACCATCCAGCTATGGCTGACTTTGCACTCTCACAAACGACACTATGGCGCGCGCAATACCATTTTGTGTCAAAAACTCCTTAACCAAAAACTGTGATTATTATTTTTGCATCAGATTTTAATTGCGTATGCAACTATCTAGCTATGACACAATATCAAAGAAAAGTACAGAAAAGATCACTCAATTTACAAGAGGAGCACTCATGCCTCGGATTTCATTTGCAAGTACTACTGCGAAGTTATGGTGGCTTTTTCTTCACCCCAAGTCAACCCTCATCCGTGAATACTCACCCAGGGGAACGTCTCAAAAACCCTGGGTTATCCAGACATGCCTCCATCATCTTTCAACTTTTCTCCGCGCGAAATATGGTCAGAGATATCTCCTTCCCAAGTGGAGTAGGTGCCCAGGCTACTCAGACTATACCGGAGAACACCACCAGGAGGCGGACCACAACACCTTTCCTCGTTGACTTGCGTTTACAGTGTCAGTTGCACTCTCACAAGCGAAGTGTTGGCGCGCACAAAGCTCAATTCGTAAAACTCCTTCCAAAATTCGGAATTTCACGCCCGTCGAAAACGTATCCCTCTTCTGCATCATCTCGTAAACTTGTCCTGATTCCTCTCACGTCCATCCCAAAGAACTATCTCCCAGATTTGTGCGCCACGCTTTGCTTCCTCCGTCGGGTATAAATATCGACATGGGTGAGTATTTGGCGACCAGCTGAGGCCAGTGAAAGTCGACGAGAGGTGTGGTCATTGGGATGAGAATGTACTATGTCGTACTTGTAGACTTGATGAAGCTTAGTTGAGAATCGGACTCTTTGGGAGTGAAAGATTGACATGGTGGAGTAATCTGAATTTTTGCCTCGTGGGCCAATTTCTTTGATATTGTGAAATTTGACTGAACTTGGCTCTGGGAGAATATTTCACTCCCAGGTTCGTAGAGGACACCACGTACAAGTGTTCAGTCTTGCCCTCCTAATTGACCGTTACAAGCCGTCTTAATGCGACTCATTTGCTATTAAATACGAGACTTGAAGTCAAATGAGTCCTTTAAGCAAGCCTTGCCGACCTTTTCTATGCAGTCTCCGCTACTGGGATTATCATAGATCTAATGGAAAAAGAGAGGTGCGTTTATTGTTCTACTTGAGTCTTAGACTATCTAGCACATTGGGCTCCTCTATGGCCCAGGCCACACCTCGTACAGTGCTCCTCGCTTCTCGTGTTTCTTGAAAGATCAGTGATATATTTCCCTTGATAGAGTGCCATTCAGCTCGGTGTTGACCTGTGAAATTCGGCCACAATATCTACGGGACTTTCTGCCCAAATATTAAAAATGATAGCAATGGAAACTGCGTGTGCGGAAAAGGTCTCAAACAACCAGTAGCCCCAGCCAGGCGAGGCCTAGACACCGGGACTGTATGAGGTGCGCATATTCATCTATATCTCCCTTCTTTGTAACAGTCGAGGTCGACTTGATCCAATCCACCATCTCTGTATCGGGTGCTGGGTACGCTCCGCAAATTTATCGAATGGCTTCTCCTCTATGGTCAAGGGTTATTGATGAGGAGGGCTTCTACACAAATATCTGATCTGATCGTGGTTGGCTTTTTGATAGTGGTGATGGGGGGGTGTATTGAGAAATGAAAACGTAGCAGACGGCGAAATCGAATGGGATGCTGCGAGCTGTGCCCCGTTCGATTAGGCTGGTCTATCTTTTAAGCACAGCCTCGTTCAAGGACATTAGTCACGTGATATGACGTAGGGTTGATTCTTACGTCTCGAATCACTCAGTTCATTATGCTGATGCTGGGAAACAGATCACTCAGTAGCGCAGGAATACGTGTCAGGAATCTAGATCACTGATAGCTGCAGAGGGCATATCTAATGTAACGGATTTCCTGTAGTTAGTCCCTACAGAAAAATATTAAATCTTTGTGGTACTGTTTTCGTGCGGTGTCCGTAATTCTCCATGCCATTAATATGGGAATCCTGTTGGAAAATATACTCTGTACGATACTATATGGATGAATATGATGAAGTAAAGAAGACTTAATATTTTCCAATTATGTGAACATTGGACTTATATATACATCTTAGGGGAGAAATTCCCACTAGTCTCATGTGCCTGTCAAACCTAGTGATGACCAGCCACCTCTCATCTACCATGATGATCCAAGGTACACTGTAGTACGTAAATATCCAATTGTAAATGCAACAGTAGGCGCGATTAGCGCACTCGTGACATGTGTAGAGAGAGTCGATCTTGTCGGGAACCTGAGACGAAACAGGTAGTGGTTGAGTCCTAAATTAGAGAGTCAGAATTTCCAACAAATCCTCATATAAGCGAGGACGGTGTTACTTTAACTCGGCTCTGTAGACTCTGCAGTGAGAACTGGAGGGTCGTAGAGGACACTACTGACAGCCTTCGGGTTAGTACATATTTCAAAACGGACTATGCGGGCACTATGGAATGAGTGTGAGATGATTGAGGATACTACTGACAGGCATGCATGTTATAATATGAGACAACGAGATAGTTGAATCTAGGGCATCGCGTGTGGCTCAAGGCCACAGCATACATCACTAGTGTGCTGGTTAGGCGAGCATGTTTATAGTTTCATAGATGTACCCACAATGAATAGACACAGGTCTAGTCTTACACTTTCTGTCCATATAACTACAGCATAATATTGTATGAGTCTATTCACTGTCAACCACTAAATATAACATCATCAGCTCCTCGTCACTCCGTAATGTGACTTCCGCATAGCTCATAAATATAATAATGGAGCCTTAGTATCTTGATATAGAGGGTGCTCGATTAGCCTCTTACTGTTCTCTGTAACCTCAGCTTATGAAATAGAATAAGATCCTAATATTCTGCTGTCCAAAGAAACCATATATCTCATACATGTCTTTCTCCTTTGCATCGAGACGTACGACTGCAATGGTCCGAAGAAAATATATCAAAGCGATCGATCGCAGGCTATTAATGAGTAAAGAACTTCATTTTGGTAGAAAGTTTGGTGGTATTTTAGGCAGACTTTCCCTCTGTTTAAATTCTTGCCTCTTCGTGGAATGGGTATGATAATCTAGTTGTTTTTACAAGCAGCACAAGCGTACGCCACGTACTGTTATCTGCAAGAGATATCTTGTAATATTTCCGTGACCCATCCATGAGACTACTCCCTGTTATGAACATGGCGCTATGTCGATATAGTCACATGAGATACTCAACGCCTGTGTAACCATGGTTACTTTGTTGTTTACCATTCTATTGCCTGTTTATCATAGGTCTGACTGTTACTGGGCAACCAAGTATTATTAAGGAATAGAGGCCTGCCTGACCGGTTGTCTGTAGATATACATATGTTTTTTGTATCTATTTTCTTTCTATTTATCGACCATCATATCGGTCCTCATCTATAAATTCTATAATTGAATGCAATCCTTCCATCACTGCAACCTCATAACCTTTAATACTCCCACGTAAAACTGTCAGTCACCACTGTACACCCAATTAAGCGTAGAGTTCTTCTAATACGAATTCATATCAATTTCTTCGATACTTCTCTTAATAATTCTTCTTACTGGTACTCTGTCATAACCTGGACAAAAGACTATTTATTTTGAGCTTTCGAGGCATAGGAAATTAGCCATTCGTGTTGGACTGAAACTAGTAACCTACACCTAGTTTGGTAAACGAAAGCCTCGAGCTTTCTCAAACCTCGCGTAGCTAGGATGGCAAAGTAGAACCCGTTCTAATATTGGCATACAAACACTACTAGAAACAATCCAGGTCTCACGTATACCCCACTTTAGAATGATCAAAGCGGATGATCTAGCTACGCAGCATCTTTCAAACTTGGTGTATCAAGCTAATACAGAGTACTAATTGTCCAAAAAACTCCGCGGAAATTGATTATGTTGAGGATCTCAACATGAAAATTCCTAAACTGTCAGTGTTAGGGGCAGCTTACACAAGAAAAAGAGATCCGCTGGAGGCTAATACCGGTGATCGTGAAGTGCAGGTTAGAGTTATTTTCCAGTAACTAGTTATGTCGCGAGGTTACTTGAGCCATTAGCAGATAACAGCCGAGTTCGCCTATTTCGCCGAGGGGGTGCGCTGATTCCGTCCACATACGACGTTGTCAATCCTTGCCCGCATGTATGCACAACACCTAGCTCTTACTCAGTTAGGTGTATGGGTGTTACGTCTTCCAGTGCGAGATTAGACGTTATGTTTTCCCTTTCTACAAAACATGCTGGTATAAATCGCGATTTAGTTCTGCAACTTCTATCAATCGCACGAGCAAATACTTTCTAACTTCATCGGCAACGATTCTTCTTGCGACACCTTTAACATAGGGCTATCGAATAAATATCCTACTTGCGGTAGCCCACTTCGGCGAGGGGCATGGTTTGTAAGCCTGCTCACTCACTCTTAAATCACCGCCAGGGTCTGAGGGTAGGAGCCGTGATACATTAATAACTGTACGGGAAAGCTTGCCGTATTTGTCTCCCGCACATAGTGGAAAAGACCTAGTAGCTAGTAGATCTTCAATTTCAAAGGTATTCTAGAATCGGATACTTTATACGAGCTGGGGGATGGCCTTGAAAGGCTCTCCCGCTGATATTGTGCTCGCTTCATCCGACATCCGTCTCGCCGGAACACACCCAGGTCAGGATATGGCTTGAGCTTGAGCCCGCCAACATGTGAATCCTTAAATAGAATATGAGACTCTAGTAAGCCTCAGTGAAAATTTCCAAGAAACCAAATGCCATTGTTAACCGTCACGATAGTCTTGTTAAGGGCTAGACTTGTCTGACCGGCTTTCTTAGCCAACCTCAAGATCTCAGGCTCAAAGGGGTAATTCTAAGGAGAAATGTCTGCTTATGGCCTTCCTAGACTTGCAGGGATCTGCATGAATATATTGGAGAAGGTTTGATCAATATGTGCCCACAAGACCCAAGAAACCAGGCGCAAAGAGCCCAGTGACACCCTGAAGGTCAAATTGCCATTGACGCACGTGCTTCTCCCCACAATTATATTGACGTAATAGGTACCAGGTGGGTGAAGCTGTTATCTGCCTTATCGGCTTCAATCGGTTAGCTTTCAGAAGGACTATTACTTATGACAAGTAATCGTAGTCTTGCTTACCGCCTCAGAAGTATACTGCTTCAGATATCTTCGACTCTCCAAGATATTGAGAATTTTCATCTAGAAGATATTTCGCTTTAATCTACATACTCTGAGCTCAAGAATCAAAAGTGTGGTATCCCCTCATACCCCAGATAGCGGGGCTGATGATTCAATTATCAGTCCCATTATAGCACAAATTAAGAAGGCATGGTCAGATCATAACTCACGGAACAATAGATTTAATTTGAGGAGAGCAATGGAGATCAAAGGTATGTCAGAATTTTGATTTTTTATTAGATAGGCTCGTTCGGTTTTATCAACACCATTTTTGAGCAAAATAAAGCAATAAAAAGTTGGGTCATCCGTCCGTGTGCAAGTGTGAGATATCCGGGACTTGCGAATATCTGAGACCCCAAGTTGTTTAAGAAGTTATGGTACCCTCTTGAAAAGTATAAAATTACTGACTTGAAATAGTGAGCCTCACACTGACTGCCCTGAATAATGACAGTATATTTCCTTCCATACGAATGATCACACTCTGCCCTAAAAACCCGTCAATTGTGGTCGGCAGGGCCTCTAGAAGCCCAAATAAAGCTCTTCATTGTGCTATAGATAATGCATGGCTTGACAGTCCAGTTATATCTCGAGATCATGCGATCATAACCTTAGATTCGAAACGCCAGGTTTTTACTTAGTAAAATTTCCTGTGGATACAGAAAATGCTGATCTCTTATAGTCTTTAACAATTCAAGATACTGATTCAATGCATGGGACTCGCTTGAACGATTTCCAAATGACTAGTCACATCCCAGCTAACCTTTACAATGGTGACAATGTTACTTTTGGAGCAGAAGTAAAGCGAGGCTCTAAGATATTTGCAGCTTGTACGCTTCAGGTGAAATTTGATTTTTCCCCTTACATGTGGGTAGAATTTCAACCTTAATAATGGTCCATACACATTCTTGAACTCATTTTCGTTTAGGGAAACAAGTAGCTTTGAACTTTTCGAATCATCAGATTCTGATAATAGGTTTAGTCAGAGCGAAAATAATGAAGAGAATGATATATCAGAGTTTATATCTCGAATAGGTAGAGGATCTACCAAAGCTTCACTTCATGAAAGACTGAAAGCCATAAGCGCCATCGAGTCTAGTGGTGCACTTCTTTATTCTAATAACCGAAATAATTTTTATGGAGGTATGAATCATAGGTCTCAGCTTGATACCCACCAAAAGAAGAAAAGTTTATTAAAGATTAAGAATGGGATCCAGGCAGGTAGTTCAATCTGTGATATTAAATCTTGCACAAACTCGTCAGCAATTATCAGAGAAAAAAATGATTGCCAGTTTTCATCTGATTCCTTTCCCCAGTATTTGGGCGACATAAACACAGGACTCTGTAACAGCGAAATGTTTGAGCTCTCCAATACACTCGACTTAAGAAATAAAGAAATTTCAATTGTTCCCTTTTCTCAAACAAATAATATTGACAATAGCCTAGATGCTAGATCTTATCTTGACAGAAGCGCCGAGACAAGAAGACTTGCGGGACCTACAACAAGTAATGAATCCCAGAATTTGCTCTGTTATCGTAACTCTAGATATAAGCTTAGTAGGAATTCGCTTGACGATAAAATGGTTTCATATCATCAAGTATCGCCTCTAGCAGGCAACTACAAGCACAAAGACAGCCCCCATTTAAACAGAACTCTCCATGAATATCCACAATCTAAGTCAGTATTGGCCAGCAATAGTATGACCAGCTCTCCTAGCATGACCTTATTAGCTTCTCCACCGGCAGAATATTTTTCGCCGAGCTCCTGGGAAAAATCATCATATTCTGATGATGAACCCTTCCTTAGTCCTGCTAATAGGCACAAAAGTATCTCAAAAAGTGGAACTAATTGTAAAGACGACTCGAAAAAGCGTTGGAGCCGAATACTCGACGACAGTATCGACAAGTCCTTTTATTTCAAGGCAAGAGAGTTCAATAAAGCGCATTTCCATTCGATGACCCGTCAAGAAAAATACACTCCTTTTCAGCAAGTTCAGCCTGGAATATATCAACAGGAGCGGAATCCTGGTAACCTGCATACTAGCTGTAGGGGGTATAATTACTTGTCATTGGCCCCAACATTATGTGGCGATGATAAGAAAAGCTCTGACATAGATAATTCTATCACCGAGAGATACCTTTCACTTGAAAAATCACAGGATTCTGAACCTTGGAACCACAAACCAAGTATATCGCCTTTTATGGATAACATTAAATCGTGCCAAGCCCAACAAAAATCTTTAGCAGCGTTATCATGTAAGGATATACAAGCGAAAAATGTGCTGGAAATAAATGAAGCTAGCAACCCAGTATCTTTTCGTCAAAGCGACGGAGCAAAACGCAAATTTCGCGCTATTTCTGGAGATTCCAACAGAGAACAAGAAACATGTTCTCAAACTGAAGTTCTACTCCGCGAATGCGACGAAAATTCTGTTAAGGTTTCTGAACCGTTAGAAATCTCGGTAAAAGCTGATGGAAGGCCAAAAAAGCGGCAAAGATACTTGGAGAGATTTGGGTACGCTGCTCTAGGTGGTTTCGCTGCGGCAGCAGGCCTTTTTTCTTTACTAGTTACCACCGCTCCAGAGTTTTCGTAAAATTACCGAATTTTTCAGTATCAAGGCTAATAGCTTTAATGAGATTGACCTCACTTGACTGGTGAATACTGCTTAGGAATTTGTCGCTCAAGCAATGAAATACTTCTGGTCAGATCTTTGATTTTTTCTTTAAGTATTCCTAATTCCTCTGTCAGAAATGGCTTGCTTTGCGGTTCATCAGGAATCTAAATTCTGCTTGGTCAAAAGTTGCCAACGATTGTAGGAACTAGAATAGGAAAGAATAAACTCATTGCCCATGAATTTTCGAACTGGTGAGACTAAAATGCATGAACAAATATCGGACAAGATAGACTAACTTGTTTAACTTTCTCTTTAACCTCTAAAATTTTGTTTGCCACTGCTGAATGATTTTTTTGGAGTAATGCCATTTAGTATGGGCGCGAGTGAGTTAATTAAAGGATATTTGTGTTGGTATGACAAAGCTTATGCACTAAAAGTCAATTAGTTCAATGAAAGTTAAGAGATTTCTCATGTAAGTAGTTTGAACTATCGTTCAGAAGAAATGGGCATCCATGGTTATTCGTCTTCTGTTTTGATGCTATGAAATTGCTAGCTAACGTATATTCGGATAAAGCATTCTTCGAATGTCAGAATCCAAAAATCAGTAGAATTAGTCAATGGAATGCAACAAACACCGACTCCAAATAATTACAGGCAGATAAATCATCCCGACTGTCTGAGTTACGATTCTGGGTGCCTCTATGTAGCTATGAAATTCTAAATTTTCATGCGTCGTAGGTCATCAATTTAAATATTTAAATTTGATCTCATCTTGCAAACGTTATTGGCTCAATCTTGTATTACAACTAAATCACTAAGATTCTCTGTCTAGGTTCAATCAGAAAGACCGCCCTTCTTATGTGTATGTACGCACGGATCACCTTGGATTTATTTTTTGCATCAGATTTTAATTGCGTATGCAACTATCTAGCTATGACACAATATCAAAGAAAAGTACAGAAAAGATCACTCAATTTACAAGAGGAGCACTCATGCCTCGGATTTCATTTGCAAGTACTACTGCGAAGTTATGGTGGCTTTTTCTTCACCCCAAGTCAACCCTCATCCGTGAATACTCACCCAGGGGAACGTCTCAAAAACCCTGGGTTATCCAGACATGCCTCCATCATCTTTCAACTTTTCTCCGCGCGAAATATGGTCAGAGATATCTCCTTCCCAAGTGGAGTAGGTGCCCAGGCTACTCAGACTATACCGGAGAACACCACCAGGAGGCGGACCACAACACCTTTCCTCGTTGACTTGCGTTTACAGTGTCAGTTGCACTCTCACAAGCGAAGTGTTGGCGCGCACAAAGCTCAATTCGTAAAACTCCTTCCAAAATTCGGAATTTCACGCCCGTCGAAAACGTATCCCTCTTCTGCATCATCTCGTAAACTTGTCCTGATTCCTCTCACGTCCATCCCAAAGAACTATCTCCCAGATTTGTGCGCCACGCTTTGCTTCCTCCGTCGGGTATAAATATCGACATGGGTGAGTATTTGGCGACCAGCTGAGGCCAGTGAAAGTCGACGAGAGGTGTGGTCATTGGGATGAGAATGTACTATGTCGTACTTGTAGACTTGATGAAGCTTAGTTGAGAATCGGACTCTTTGGGAGTGAAAGATTGACATGGTGGAGTAATCTGAATTTTTGCCTCGTGGGCCAACTTCTTTGATATTGCGAAATTTGACTGAACTTGGCTCTGGGAGAATATTTCACTCCCAGGTTCGTAGGACACCGCGTACAGGTGTTCAGTCTTGCCCTCCGATCACCTTGGATGCCTGCATAATTCCCAGTCCTTATAATTACATGACTGCATAACCAGAGCTGACTATACTTAAATATGCATCAGCTCACACGTCTAATCTAATTTGGTGCCCTACAGGCCGATTCAGGCGACAATGAACCTATATGTATATTTATATGAGGGGGAAACTTTGCGATTGAATCCCCTTCCACCTGTAAAATTATTTGTATCTTTAGTCCTCTGTCGCCCACAGAAGTGCAATTGCCTGCAAATTCGAATTCTTCACCTTCCAGTGGTGCCGTTATAATCGCCCAGTATGCTCTGTATATCTGGAATAGCCAAGAAGAATCGCATCCGAATCGAAGTCGAAAGCAAACGAATATTTATCTATAATCGGTGACTTTTCATCAATACCAGTATTGTTATTCTCACGAGAGTCCTCAACTTAGACCTCTCCACACACCACTTCGCCTCATCGACTGATAAAGGCGTTACTCCGGTTGCAAAAAGGAGCTTGCCTCATTTGTTCCCGACCATCACTCTCTAAAAATTTACGACGCTATACATACCCGTAAGGAGGAAATCAAATCGAAAAATACAGAGCCTAGGTCCAGGATTATGGGGGACTGTTGCTCTAATGGGGTTATACATCTTGAGGAAGGACTGGCGGCTGAGATGTGGAGCGAGAGGGGGAACAGGCCTCTGAAGAGCATGATGAGGCTGACATTTACGCGGGGTATTCAATTTTGGAACATTTGTGAGCGCCAAGACCAAGATTTTGGCTAACTAGCCAGGAGAATTTCTTTTGTCGATGAGTCAACAGCACTCCCCAGCGCCCCGGACGGCACAAAAGAAGCTAGGCTAAGCTACAATACAGCAATCTCGCTCTATCGAGACTTTTCCGACATTTCAGCACGACATTTGGGAAGGAGTTGGAAGGAGGCTAGAAAGGCAAAGGGTGAATTTCCCGAGGTACACACAAGTCTGCAGCGCCTAGCTGGCCGGCCTCTTCGAACGCTTCAGAAGGGGCAACATGTCTTCGGATTTATTCCTAATGTCGGTATTAGAAGAGCCCCGCACCCAGTAGTTCTTGCGATTTTTCCCGGCTGCCATACACCCGCACATGGCCATCGTTTCGTTGGCTGGAGAGAGGAGATAATGAAGGGCAAAGGGCTCCTCTTAGCGTATGATCGAATGAGGACTTGTGAGGGGTGGTGCTGTTTGAGGGGAGCTATATGGGAGGCACAGGAGGGGATATACTACTGGTATAGGTATCCTTGGCCAGTAGGCAGAGAAGACCTGCATGTCCTGCATAGTCATAGACTCAGACAGGACAATAAAATGAATTAGTAATAACAGCATGGCTATTTGTCATGGGCAATATGAGGTTCCTGATGGATTAGTATGTGTGAAAAGTGAGATAAGCTTAGCTTTAAGATGGCGTAGGTTACGGGTGTCTCGTGGCTCCAATCTACCAATATGTATAGTAGAGCTTAAGACTAGATGTAACTTGGTTTTCTATTAATACAGGGTATCGTCTATATAAGTACAGTATTCCTAATCTTGCGCCCGGACTCCAACATGAACAACATTACATAAGCATTACAATTTATTAGAGCCTTTTACTAATCTAGAGGTCTGTCAATCTTGGATCCTCAAATATATCAACGATCTTTCAAGAAACAAGAGGAAAGGAAAATTTCATGGTATGGCCTGGGTCAGAGGGGAGCCCAGTGCGAGAGAGCGTCTAAGATTCAAGCAATACATTAGGCACACATATCTACATGTTAGAGCTAGATAACTGTGCACGCAAATAAACCCAACAAAAGAATCGTATTATAATCTCCAAAATGACTGGAGCATGGCGTGTTATGGAGTCTATCGTACCACTTCGTGAAAACATAACGTTACCGTCATCACTTGAGCAAAACTGTTCAAGACATCACTTGTTTTGCCTCCTACAGGAATCGAACCTGTGATCTTAGCATGAGCTTCAAGCTACAAGTGCTACGCGTTACCACTGCGCCAAGAAGGCTGTTGATATCAGAGCATAAATAATTATATTCAACGATTTGGCACCTTATGGCCCATTCAGGTGTCTGAACATCAATACTTACGTAGGAGGAAACCATTATTTTGGTAAAAACCCCTTGGAGTTTTCAAAATGTTTACACTTTGATTCTGTGTTACCCTCAAGAAGTGCACTAACACTGATATTTCCAGTGCGGATACCGTCCAATCCTTTACTCATCGTGGCTTCGACTTCAAGGGTCAGTCGAAACTGCTCTAGCCTTCCTCCCTTCCTTTTGTATTCACTTTGTAATTCTAGCTAAAGCTTTCGGGTTATTCAGCATCACTTCGAATGATCGATCCTCTGCCTTTCTCAGTATCTACCCTCCCCCTATAGCCCAGTCGGGACAGGCCATGATCATGTGCTTGACGTTCTGGGAGGATATCCATATTGGCATCGTGGACTGTCTACTCCGGGAACATATTTCTGTGCAGGTAAGAGTTGAACCCAATATGCTCACTTCTTATCTGCATGGCTATGCTACTTTGGGTCCTGTTAAGGTTTTTCTGGATACTGATAGGTGTTCTTCTGTAATTAATTCTTGTATCCGCTTTCATTTTTTGACGATTCACGTGACATTCACACGAAGATCTCTCCAAGTTTTACATGAGGTTAGTATTAATGCACTTTGACGTAAATACCAACCACTAGATTTTATTATTACAAAATATAATTTATATAGCACTCTGTGTCCTAGTGGGAGTAATTAACAACTCTGCACGACAGATTTACAGACTCCTTTACTTTCCCACTCGCTTCACTGAGTGATATCATCTGTGCTTAATAGCCACAAGCTTTTACAAACCAATCCACTCAACAGAAAGTTGGGCTCATTTCATGTATGGGATGTTTAGGGGCGCTTCAGAGCTGAAGATAGTTCGATGGGGACGTGTTTCATTGTAGCATAAATACCCTTACATGTGTATTTTGAGGATTGGTGAGACATAGGAAGAAATGGTGCTAATGGAATGGAAGCTGACACTTTTTTTATTAATCATTCAATGTCTATGCAGCTTTAAAGCTATGACACATTACCGGTGCTATGTTTACATGATAGATAACTCTTTTGAAGTTAGAGACACTAATACTCTGGATTTCATTCGAAAATACCACTGAGGTATGTTCGCTTACACAAACAGTCGACCCTCCTCCGTAAGTATC